TGTTCGAACATTTCGTATTTTTCAGCTCGTTTACGTGTGACACAAAAGACTTAAGTAACGAACTTGTCTGTGCGCTGACTCCATACGCTTGTGCATATGCTCATGTAGTACTAAAAAGATTCTTATCAATGTGCCAAAAGAGACGTTGAAATAAGTAAGACGATTCTTTTCTTCTGCTTAAATGTTGTAATGTAACTTGGATAACGGAAGGTTAAATGTCAGCGCGGCAAATACTTGTAATGAATTTTAATAGTTCGATGCCGTTTCGCTGATCGGAAATTAATTGATTGCTACATGGCTTAATTAGATATACGTGTCTATTCTAAATTAATATATTATATAATGCTGGTAATTCAAAATATGATGGAGTCAAAGCCAATGAAATTAAAATTTTAGGCACAATAATAGAGATTAATTTGGAAGTTTTCTTATAGGGGAGTAAATCAGTAGTAGTTGAGAAATGTGAATGAAATCGTCTGTCGGTTTGTCCGTCTGTCCACGCAACCAGTAACTTGAGTAAAAATTGAGTTATCGTTATGAAACTTTGTATACGTATGCCCTAGCAATAAAGTGAGGACATGCTCGTAGATAGGCGTAATCGGACTAGAGCCACGCCCACAAAGCGCTATTATTAGCCTATACCGATAAACTACCATAACTAAGCACTAAATTAAGATATAAAGCTTTATTTTGGTATAGGGGATCACAGTAAGCACCTGTGGGCTAAATATTTGGTAAAAGGGGCGTGGCCCCGCTCTCTAATAGGCCTAATGTACATATCTCCTAAACCACAAAGGCTACAATAATTCAAATCCTATAAGATTAATTTTATTCTTATAGTGAATTTAACATTATTTCTGTGTCATTATTACAAGTATGTGAATAAAGGGAGTGAGTTTAGTATTGAAAATACTATTGTAAATGTTCCTCCAATGAATGAAAAAGATGAAATAACGAATTATTTTATGGCAGTCTTATAAGCTTCAATGAAGCTGCCTGGCGTATCTTCGGTTTCCAAATTCGTAAATAGAATCCAGAAGTTATTCATTTAGTTGTGCATCTCGAAAATGACCAAGGCGTATTTTTCATGAACGAAATCATGTTATCATAATTGGGTCGTGAATATACTGTCAATTCAAGGCAGACTAAGTGCTTTTATCTGCAACTGTTGTTGGTTAATGTCAACAGAACATTGTCATTTCAAGATATACCTAAATTAAAAGGACAACAGGATACAACCTATAAAGATGCATGCCTTGCACTAGGTTTGCTAGAAGCCGACGATCAGTGGGACAGTATGCTTGCTGAAACAGCATTAAACTGAACAGGAAATCGGAATGCATCTGGTTTAATCAACACATATATAAATCGTGCAGCACAGTATGATTCTGTCTAATTGGCAGCGACTGTGATCCGCAAAGTACCACTACTAAATGATGAACAAAAATTAACTTACGAGCTCATTATGCTGACAGTTTCGACAGGGCAAGGGGGATTATTTTTCTTGTGTACACACAAAATACTGATATAAATCTGTGAATGTCAATAGATTGAATTCAATACAACTCTATTGATGTATAGGAAAAATTATTCAATTGATTTTTTGAATTCATTGGATATGTTGGGCATGGGTTGGATCTCCGGTTATTTTGCTTCATAATTTGAACTCACCACGGCTTTGCAATGGCACTAGATTAGTAATTAAAAAATTAATAAACAAGAAAAAATGTTAACTTTGGTTGTACCGAAGCTATAATACCCTTCGCAAATACAAAGGCTCTTTACAAGAACTTGATTCCGATCGTTCGGTTTGTCTGGCAGATGCTATAGTGATCTGATCTGAACAATTTCTGCGGAGAATACATTGTTGCCTTAAACAACAACTCGTGCTTAATTTCGTGAAGATACTCGTCAAATAACAAAGTTTCCCATACAAGTACTAGATTCCGATTGTTCAGTTAATACGGCAACTATATGCTATAGTCATCCGATCTATACAATTTCTTCGGAAATTGGATTATTGCCTTAAAAAATAATCCATGCCAAATTTCGTGAAGATATTACGTCAAATAAAAACGTTTTTCATGCAAGTACTTTACTCCGATTGGTCTGTTAATACGGCAGCTATATGCTATAGTTATCCGATCCTTTTTTCGGAGATTAATTTGTTGCCTTGGGAAATAACTCATGCCAAATTTCCTAAAGATACCCCGTTAAATGAAAGAGTTTTTCATACAAGTACTTAATTTCGATTGTTCAGTTTGTATGGCTATATGCTATAGTGGTCCGATATCGGCCGTTTCGACAAATGAGCATCTTCTTAGTAAGAAAAGGACATGTGCAAAACTTCAGATAGATGCTTAAAAACTGAGGGACTAGTTTGTATATATACAGACTGACGGACGGACAGACAGATGGACATGGCTAAATCGACTCAACTCGTCATGCTGATCATTTATGTATATATTCTATAGGATCTCCAACGTTTCCTTCTGGGTATTACAAAATTCGTAGCAAACTTAATAATATATTGAATTGCAAGTTCCAAGGCGGAAATGTATTGCTGCCACTAATTCCTATGATTCCTACAGAAGTGCCAAATGAATTCAAACGCTTTCAATTTCCAATGAGACTGGCATTCGTAATGACGATCAATAAGTCATAAGGTCAAACACTGCCGGTTTGTGGCTTAGATTTGGGTACACCATGCTTTTCCCACGGACAACTTTTTGTGGCATATTTTCGCGTGGGCAAACATCCAGTTTATTTGAATTCGCTAAAGACGTACTGAACAAAAAATGTTGTACTCTCGATTGCGTTGAGAGATGAATTTTTGTTTATTTTTAATAACTTAATCAGTAGTAGAAAAATTAACTATTTTCAATGTATAGATAACTATCAACTGTTGTAATTTATTATACATTGGTGCTTTAATAAAGAAAATTTTATTAACTTAGATAAAGTATACTTTATTTGTTTATAAATCTTCATTCCTATTTTAGTTACATCCCCCAAACCCTTAGTTATTTTGAAAAGGCTTTCCTAAAATAATATTTCTTTAAAAACCATTTATCAAAAATGACGTTTATGACAAAACAACGTTTGCTGGGTCAGCTGGTATTTACATTTTTATAAAATTGCTTAAATAATAAGAATTCAAGTATACTTGAACAATGTCAAAAATGAATGTAATCAGCCCTGCCATTTCTCTTCCCCCAATATATCCTATATAATAATTTCTGACTTTTCACCTGACTTCAAACAGTTTTGGTTGGTCAAATGATAATTTAATGAAATTAAGTGGACACGTTTTCTTAAAAGTTATAAAATAAAATAAATGAAATTGGTGTTGTTTTAAACCTGATATCCCTAATACAATGAATTTCGATCCTTTGGTTGACGTTTTTCACATCAACTCAATATATTAAATTTAGCCTCTTCCGTTGAGTTAATGTCAGATATGTTACGTCTTAGTTGAGGATGATTTAATATTTGTAATTCAATTTTAACTCTCGAATAAAATCAAAATATTACACACCATATATGTACCTAAAAAGCTCGAAAAACACGTAGAATTTGTGGATTTTCCAAAAAAAGTTTTATTATAAATAAATTTGAATCTTATTTTTAAGATGCTAAGGTATGAAATGAAGCAAATAATTGAATAATTATGCTTATCCTGTTACTAATAACAATGTTTTTTATTAGGCTTCCCGAAGGTAGTTCGCTTATTTTAAGTCAACTGTCACTGTTATTCTACGTCAGCTCTGCCATGCCTTTATTAATTATGAACAGAAGCCTCAAACGCCCACCATGTGAGGAAATCAATGTGTTAGTTCCGGTTAATAATAATGGCTATACTTATAGTTTGTACACGTAATTATTAAAAGCTTACTTTCAAATTAATATATATTTATATATATGTATATGAAATATCAAGGAAATAGCCGAAGATTAAGAATCTATAAGTTTAAAATCTTAACACACGCTTACACAGTTCGTTCGCCCCGCCTTAGTGACTCACATGCACAGACGGGTATGAAGCTAGATAAAACGGTGTTTTGTGTAGGAGAATTAATTAAATTACTTAATTCAGCATCGCATTAAAACCAAAACATTGGTTACAAATCGTTTGCGGCAAAGGTGAGCTGACAAGGTGCTTGACCCACGCTTGACGAAAAAATTGCTGTGTTACCTAGAAATTATGATTGCTTCGTAGTAATTTATCTAATTTGTTTTGATGTTTGTAGATGGCTATAAGTAAATTATAAATATAATTACTTAATTCTGAGATGGGTGTTATCATTTAGACGTTGCCGTTGGCACGGCGAGATGTACTTCGGAATTTTGGGTAGGAAGTGTTGGCAAGCTGTGTCTATCAAGGACAAAATTATGAAAACTAATCAATTTCTAATGGATTTTGTAAGAAGCTTATGAATATTGAAAACGTATAAATATATACTATAAATTTCAGATATATCTTTACTGCATCGATTTAAACTTAGAATTATATTACGCAATGCGAATGGCCTTCATGGTTAATCCGATCAACGGTTTCACTAATTTACCCAAATTTATTAGGTAAAACCAAAATACAATATTTTTTTGAATTAATTCCATTTCCATATATATAGTAACATGATCCGGTAATAAAATATCTAATTTTGATAAAATACTTTGTTGTTTCAGACATTGTCCACTGTGAAAATATTTATAAAACTTGCCGCTATTGCAAATAAAGGGCTAAGCCAAGAAAGCGGATTTTGGTTTTAGGAATAGTGGTCTTAGCTTTGAGGACTTAGAAACTAATAATGTTGGGTATATTAGAACAATATAATACGATCTAGACAATACGATCACTTAATTTGGTTAAGATGTCATACATACTTACCAATATTTATGTTATAAAGTCAATCAAAAATTCTAAAATCATTATATTAGATATTTTGGAGGGTTCCCACTTCATTTCATTAAAACTTCTCACAAATTGACCAATATTTTCAGCCAATAGCCATAGCCATACCTTCCTTGATCTTCGGTGTTAGGGGGTCCATATCTAAGGAGCATTATTTGTGCTAAGTTTTATTTCGATACTTTTGTCTATACCTGAGTTACGAGTATATTGTAGAAAATATTTGGTGAAGGGTAAATGTCCTTACATTTCAAGAGGCCGTGATCGATTGATATATAATCTTATTCTTGTCTCGATAATTTTCAGGTATTACAAAAAATCGCACGAACTTTATACATACTGTTAGAACTATTATAATACCATATAATCATTGTATATGCATGATGAATGTGAATATACAAATTTATTTCAAGTTTTGTTAAATATCGAACATGAATAATTAATAAGTTATCGTACTTCAATGGACGTGAATATATAATAAATATGAGCAATAATGAATTATTTTATATGGCGGGTTGACTGTTTTCCTAACTGATAAAATATTGCATTCAAAACAAATTGTTAGTCACGTGAAATCAAAAAGAAGTTTCAATTTATCAGTTGGTTGTTTTCCAAAAACAAAAACGAAAAAAATCAATAACACGGAAGAAAGAACGACGAAGCAAATTAGAGACATTTTTAACTGAAAAGGTCAAATGAATTGCAGTTTAATAGGAAATGGGTGCAATTAGTTTCACAAATATTCATCTTTGAAAAATAGTTGAGCATTATATTGAAAACCATACTTTAAATTAGAATTAAATTTTATATTAAATAATGAGGAATTAACGGTGCTTCCGAGTTTGAAATATGTAATCTGCAAATAACTAAGAGTTCAGTTGTGGTTGAATTGCAATTATACGCATATGTTGCAATGAAAATTGCAGGAAATCAGTACTTATCCCGCACACCAACCGTTATTTGACTATATAGACATTTTGAATAACAACAAACATAATTCTGTTCACCATCATAAAATTGTTTGTCAACATGCAAAAATTTGCAATACAGCAAATGTTGACTAGAAGCGTTTGTTAATCGCAGCCAACGCTTTAGTTGCTGACGGCATCTGCCGAAAAGTTTAGCGAGGTACTACAAGTTGGAATATAACAGGTTAAAATACTTGCCATATTTCACAAAATTGTAACTCTATTTCTTGTTTATCGAGCTTTAGTGGATTATCGCAGAGCTATATAAAGGTTTAATTTTGTCTCCAATTGTTAAACAATCTAGTACATGAGTATTGTTGGCTAAAAAGTGATATTCTAACTTTAACTGCTCTGCTCTCATTAAACACAACTATTTTGGGTCATGGAAAAAAGCTTTTTTCCAATCTGTTAAAACTTCATTGAATTTCAGATCTCAATCAGATACTTTTCTCTGGGGGGAGTGTGAATTAAGTATTGTTCACACGTGTTTGTACATCTGCTATCATGTTTTATGTTAGATTTTAGTGGCATACTGCTGTGCCTTGTCTGAAGTTGATTTATTGCGTTTTCCGACGATTTTTCACAGTCATTGGCAGCATTATTAATACTAGGTAAATATATATTATATTATATAATAATAAATAAACGTATATTCATTCCAAGAATGTTAAATAAGGAATAATGAAATTATTAATTATTATAATTTTTAAACGAACGCGAAACGGATACAACGAGAATATCAATAAGCAATTATTCTATTAGCTAAACTATTTCAATTAATTCACTGGAAATATGTATATGCAACTGTCCTCAGACCTCTTTTCAAAGAAACTCTCTGGGAAACTTTAAATTATTTGGCCGTGCATTAAACCCCTATGAGTTACAACTTTAAAAAATAATACCAATCACTGACAAATTCAATTTTTTTCTTTTGTAAGTATTCTCGTCATTAGACTGATATATTTACAAATTTTATACATAAATTTTTATCTCGGTTCACTATAGGTTGTAGCTGACGTGCAAACTGATCGATAAAAATTAAGCCAACAGAAAAAACAAGGAAACAGTATTATAGCTTCGGTGCTGGTAAAACTAACGTTTTATTTTTAGCTTACATATATTTTTTTAACTCAGCGAAATCAGGTGCCAAGTTTGGGACAGCTGAAATAAGATACTATGGCAATTTGTAAAATGAATACGCCGGTAAGTTTTGAGATGCTTTCTCGCATAAAAATGTTGCATTTATTCTGCCATAAACCCGGGCTATCAAAATTTCGTGGGGTTTTATCTGAATGTTGCCTTCTAGCCTGAATAAAGTACAACATTTTCTGACCTTCTCAAAACGTAAGAGTGAGAATTGCCCAGACGATGTTTATTTTTCGTTTTTGATAGTTTTTTGTTTAAAATCATATTTTTCTACTGATTATAATGAATCGATCGACTTTGTTAAGCTCAATAATAAATATTGCAAAAGAGTTGGTTGGTATTTTTTGCTCTTTTGTCATGTAAAAAATGGAACATTTATATAATGTTGCCGCATAATGAGGCAACATTTTTTTTCGTCGCGAAAAGAAAGCGGTATTAGTCTGGGTCCAAGTCTGAATATTTGCACACTTATACTAATTTTAGTCTGGTAGTCTATTGGCTTCTTTACAGGTAATAATTTTGACAAGAGAGCAGAACTTAAACTTTACTGTCGGTTGACTGTAATGTGTGTTCTTTAGGAATGAAATTGCATTAATTAAGCAAACAAATTGATAACTGAATTTTACAAATAAAAAAATGAAGTTTTATTCCCTTTTTGTAAATAACTCTTAAATAAATGTGTTGTTGTTGTATATTTGAAATGTTTTTATCAACAAATTTGTTCTTCAAATAACATAATTAACATAATCATAATATTTACTATCCATTAAATATTTTATTTGTTTGTTTACTTACTCTGTCGCTTACTTTTATGTTCTGTGTATTGAGTAATACTTTGTGAAAATCCGATGGTGCGCGATAAGTGACTTCTTCAACTTTATACATAGGTACAGTAAAAACTTGATAATAACCTCTGATAGAGTATGATCAGTTGGTTTGCTTGTATATACGCAAGTAAATTTGAGCTTTACAAAAATTTAAGGCCAACGAACGAAGCTGTAGTCTGACAAAAAGGAATATGTCCATGTGTTCCATAAAGTGGGGTCATCTATAGTTCGGTCCATATGTGAGATACTTTAATGAAGTTAAGCACCCGTATTGTTTTTGTTCAAACTATGATACAGAAAATAGATAAAAATCCATGGTTAATTCGTTATTATAAAATAGGGTTTCGTCATCCTTCCAGATTTCGGACTAGCTCTAATATATTGTATTAATTTTAAGATTTTTGCGCTTCTTTTATTTTCTATTCATTGAATATATCAGGTAAAATTTAATATATTTTAATGACATTAAGTAATCATTTTATCCTGAACATAATGTGATGACGTGCTAAAATTTGTAGAAATTGGTTATTCATCCTCCGATTGGTTGTAATCGATCCAGAATTTCTTTTAAATCATAATAAAAATGATGTGGTTGGTCAATGGTTTCAATAAAATGGTTGATATTAAGTAAGAAACATTGATCGGAGATATAAAAATATCTCTTCGTTCTCGTTTTGACTTTTCCCAGGTCCATTTGAAATAATATTTATTTCATAACGAGTCTTAACAAATTGTTAAGAATGTGTTATTAAGCAGAAAATAATATGATGTTTACTTAGGTATTACACGAAATAACTAATGTTTGACTATCTTATGAAATTTTAACGCAAACGTAAACTCGTCATTACTGAACGACCTTAATTCTCTCGCATGAACTTCTCTTTAACTTCGGTTGTACCGAAGCTATAACACCCTACAAAATACAAAAGTTTTCTTACAAGAACTTGATTTCGATCGTTACTTTGTATGGCAGCTATATGCTATAGTGATCCGATCTGAACAATTTCTTCGGCAAAGAAAAAAGTTTTCCAGATTCCGATCGTTCAGTTTGTATGACAGTTATACGTAATTGGACACCAAAATCGCCTTCCGCTTACCAGACCACTGCAGTGTTTTCCAGGCCTTGTTGTAGTGACAAAAGTGTGCTCAAAACAATGAGCATATATATATATATACGGATAGCCAAGCGGCCTTGAAATCACTCAAGTCTCCTATGGTCTCATCAAAGATAGTGAAAGAATGTCTTGATCTATTCGAGGATTTAACATCCTACTTCACGATAAACCTGCAATGGGTTCCAGGGCATAGTGATATCCCGGGTAACTGCGAAGCAGATGAACTAGCCAGAACAGGTACCACTTTACAACTAACCCCTGAAAAAGAGGGTATTTTTATTCCTCTGGCAACTTTCAAGCACTTAATCAGCGAACATGCTATAAATCTAGCTGAGTCTCGGTGGAGACAATCAATAGTGTCAATGCTCAACCAGCAGGCTAACGTGGCAGGAATGGAGCGTCAGTCGCACAAACCGACTACATTCCAGATTCGTTGTCGTTGAGGTCATCTAACGGGAGGCCCAGGAAACGAGCTGTTTCGACGGGGTCGGACCATAGGGAGAAGGGTATTAGATGAGTGGGGTTTGTTGGGTATGCAAAGAGGTGGTTAGTGTAATGCGGAGACTCATTGCACGCAGGACATGTGTTTGGTATGTCGGGGTCTATTCTGGATAAGTAGGAGTTTAACCTGCTACAGAACGAAGTTACGCGAGGGTCACTCTGGTTTCGCGAGGCAACTCGAGCTCTACGTCTGCTATGGGTGGTGGTTTGACTCGTAATACGCCATTCACTGAGAGGGAGTCGGTGAAGGTGTTGATGGCTCCACTGTAAATGGCGGTCGGTGCCTGTCTGAAGTTCGTTGCGTCCGAAGTCCGGTCGGTGTACTGTCTAATGTCGTCGACGTAATCAAGGAAAGACCTCTTGATGCTCCTAGGAGGCGGCTCCGCTAGAAACTGCTTGGAGAGGAGCTCGTTATGTTCCATAACCGAAATTTTTGAGGATTTTGTTGCGGCTCTGTACTTTGGCAGTTATTGCGGTCATGTGGGGAGTGAAGGAGCAAAGACTGTCTAGTGTAACGCCTAAAATTTTAGGGTTGTTTACCGTCAGAATTTTGGTGCCATCGACTGAAATGTTTAGATCCAGTCTGTACTCCTTCGTCCAGTTCGTGGATATGGTCGCTGTGGATTTGGGGGGGGAGAGTGTCAGACTCCTTGCAGAGAAGAAGCGATAAAGATCAGAGAGATAGCTGTTTACTGTTCACAGGAAAATAATCGCAACTACCGGTCGGGGATTCCTTGACGACGTATCAGAAGTAGGTAGGTAGGTAGGTGGAGTGGCTGTCTAACGACGCACCTAGGCCTATGTTCCCTCACTCTATCGTCTCCTCTCTGAACCAACCTGTGCTCCTGATGAAGCTCATCAGTATAAATAATTTTATATTAGCAACTTCTGATACGTCGTCAAGAAATCCACGATCGATAGTTGCGATTCTTTTCCTGCATAGAGCTTTAAATTCGCATAGAAGATGTTTTACTGTCTCCTCTTCTTCTACTTCTTGGCAGCTTCTACAATAGTCGTTGTAAGGTACACCTAGCCTGCTGGCATGTCTACCAATTAGACAGTTACCTGTTAGTACCCCAATCAGAGTTCTTATATCATTCCCTTTGAATTTTAATAGTCGGTTTGTACGACTCACGCTCCATTCCTGCCACGTTAGTCTGCTAGTTGAGCAGGTTATTGATTGTCTCCACCGAGACTCTGCTATATTTATAGCATGTTCGCTGATTAAGTGTTTACAAGTTGCCAGGGGCATAAAAGTTCTCTCTTTTTCAGGGGCTAATTGTAACTCGGTGCCTGTTCTGGCTAGTTCATCTGCTTCGAAGTTTCCAGGGATATCACTATGCTGGAACCCATTGCAGATTTATCGTGAAGTAGGATGTTAGATTCTCTAATAGATCAAGATATTCTTTCACTATCTTTGATGAGACCATAGGAAACTTGAGTGATTTCAAGGCCGCTTGGTTATCCGTATTAATATATATGCTTTTTGTTGTGAGCACACTTTTTGACAATACAACAAGGCTTTCTTTGATTGCTGTGATCTCCACCTGGAAAACACTGCAGTGGTCTGGTAAGCGAAAGGCTATTTTTGTGTAAAGTTGCGGAGAAGACACCTCCTCCCACTCGATTATATAGTTTGGATCCATCCGTGTAGATGCTAATTCCTGGATTCCTGTCCACCTCGTCTCTTTTCCACTCCTCTCTGGTGGGGCAGGCAACATTGTGGACGGAATTTAGCTTTAATTCTATTGGATTGCAGAAATCCGTGGTTTTGGGTAGAAACGGGAACGATCTAAGTATTCTAGAATGCCCCTTGTTGCAGGCGACTAATTGGGAGGATTCCCTTAGTCTGAGAGCAGACTTTGCTGCCACTTGCTTACAGAACAGGTCTGTTGGCAATAAATGTAGAATGACGTTTAGTGCCTGGCTAGGCGTTGTTTTAAGAGCTCCACTAATGCATATACTGGCTGCTCTTTGTATACTTTTCATACGCCTCACCGCATATTTCTTATCCATTATTGGCCACCATACCAATATACCGTATGTCATGATTGGTCTGACAACTGCTATATAGAGCCAATAAGCTATCCGAGGCGTTAGCCCGATTTGGGGCCCACCATCCTTTTACAAGTGTAGAGTGCTGTGGCTGATTTCTTCACCCTAGCATCCAAGTTTTGTTTCCATGAAAGCTTTCTGTCTAAGATTAGTCCTAGGTACCTTGCCTTATCTCCAATTGTTAGTTCGCAACCATTTATAACCATAACTACTGGAGTGTTATGCTTCCTGGTAAACACTACTAGCTCTGTCTTATCAGCATTTAAGTTTAATCCGCACGATACAGCCCAACGGTTTATATCTTCCAGGATCGTTTGCATAAGGTTTGCGAGAGTATTAGGGAATTTACCTCTAACTGATACTGCCACGTCGTCAGCGTAGGCCACAACATGTACCCCCTTCTTCTCTAGATCCCACAGCAACTTATTCATTGTCAAGATCCAGAGAAGTGGGGATAACACGCCTCCTTGGGGTGTACCCCTTTGGACGGATCTGCACATCGTTGACGCTCCCAGCTTTGAAATTATTGACCTGCTCGTGAGCATCTGTTCAATTAATTTTCTGAGAGGTTCAGAGATGTCCAGATCCTTAAGCGCACTCAGTATGGCCCTAGGCTGGATGTTATTGAAGGCTCCTTCTATATCTAAGAAGGCAATTAGAGTGTATTCTTTAACTTCTAGGGATTTTTCTATCTCCATCACCACAGAGCTTAGCGCTGTTTCTGTGGATTTTCCTTTAGAATACGCATGTTGTGTACCAGCTTACTTGTCTGGTTTTAGTTTGTTTCTTATATGTTGTTCTATTAGCCTTTCCAACGTTTTTAGAAGGAACGAGGAGAGACTAATAGGTCTGAAGTCCTTTGGATTTGTATGCGAGCTTTTGCCTGCGTTAGGTATGTATATTAACTTGACTTTCCTCCAAGGCCAAGGTATATAGTTTAATTGCAGCGCCCCCTTAAGAATGGTAATTAGCCAATCCATTATGTAATTCTGCGACTGCTGTAATTGAGCCGGGAATAGACCATCTGGTCCCGGCGACTTGAAGGGCTTGAAGCTATTTATTGACCAGCGTACGTTGCTTTCTGACACTGTGTTTATAAGAGTGGAGTCTATTTCTGCTCCACTGTCTTGAGTATATTCAACAGTATGGCTTTCAGAGCTACCTGGGAAGTGGGTATCCATTAGTAGTTCCAGTGACTCTTCACTGGATACCGTCCAGCTGCCGTCTGGCTTCTGAAGATAACCGATACTATGCACAGATTGTGCCATTATTTTCCTAAGTCGAGACGCTTCCGCCGTGTTCTCGATATCATTACAAAAAGTTTTCCAAGAATTTCTTTTTGCTCTCCTAACTTCCTTCTTGTATGACCTAAGGAGGTTGTAGTAATAATCCCAGGCTCCAACTTTTTAAGTTCGAGAGACCACCAGGGTGGACTAATTCTACCTCTACTTTGTGTTATTGGACAAGCCACTTCTAGTGCTTGCCGGCAAGATTCAGTGAATTGATCAGCGAGGATATCGAGATCCTCCTTACCTTTGGGCTGAAACGGCGGAATCATAGGGATACGTTTTTCCAGCTCTTGCATGTGTACCTGCCAGTTCGTTTTCCTATGATTCCTGAACTTCATGCCTCTATCGGCCCTTTCTTCTAATGTACATTCAATATTTGATCCGAAAATGAATTTTCTTCGAGGACTCTCCATTGAGTTACCCTGTCAAATAGTACTTCCGACACAAGTGTGATATCCAGAACTTCTTGTCGGTTTCTTGTAATAAATGTTGGCGTACTTCCCTTATTACACAGCAATAGCTTAGTGCCTAGTAGGTAATTGAAGAGACACTCACCTCTGTCAGAGTTGACATCTGAGCTGCTCCAGACTGTGTGATGCGCGTTTGAGTCGCATCCAAGTATTATCATGAACTTGGATGCCTCGCTATCCCTTACCACCTCTTTTACCATCAGAGGGGGCACCAGCTCCTCCTCGTACGGCATATAGCACGACACCAGCCGATAACTGCATGTGCTCGTTTCCCAGCTTACTGCTACTGTGTCGTTGTTGCTGTAATGATGTAATATAAAACCGTTAAGGTTTTTCTTTGCCATTATGCAGGCTCTGATTTTACCTTGACTATTAGCCATAAATAAATTTTAGCTCGGTGTCCTCAGTCCGCAAATACGTCCTCCATTAACCCATGGCTCCTGAATGAGGACAAACTCAGGCTGTTCTTCTGCCATGTGGTTAATTAGGGCTACTGAAGCTAGTTTGCTGTGATGAAGATTAATTTGTAGAAGACGCATTAACTAATATTGTTTCTGCGTCTTCCTGAGAGTCGCTTAGAAGCTCTCTCTCAGTATACAAGTTTAAGAGTCTGGCAGCAAGCTCAGACTCGGAAGAACACTCACCTTGCTCTATACTTTCTACATCGCTCGAGGACTTCATAGGATCTTCCTCTACTTCGCATGCCTCGCTTTCTGATGCTAGATGGTCTGCAGCATCGGCATCCGACTTGTACGGTGTAATCCTCACTTTCGTGAATCCGTTGTTTATCTGACCGCCACTTATCGCCAGCGGTTCGATGGATTCTTTTGTTAGTAATAGCAGAATCTGCATCGTGGCCCTTTTGGTCTCCACGCCAGATTCTGCTACGCTATCGTCAAACGCCTTGAGGAACTTCCACCCCTCCGTGGGCAGACTCGGGTTGCAGGCTCTAATGAGCTGCATAATCTGATCCGGCTGTGATGGTGTAGCCGGGTATATCTCTTTTTATCCACTGCTATCAGTTTTGCGCCCGGGTACACCTCCCCTCCCTTGGCTATAGCAGCTTTGTATAGTGCGACCGATCTCTCGTCATCGCATGCAATCATTTTAATCTGGCCCTGGTACCAGCCGGCATCTGTGCATAACGGTGGCGGACCTGGATTGCTAAGTAGCACTTCCTGTGCCACATTTGTCAGCGTAGCCTGCACCCATTTCCATTGGGCTCTGGGGATTCTTCCTTCGGGGTCCCCCTCATCCAGAATGCCAATGACAATTCGGTTCCGGGCCACTTCTGTAAATGATTTTGCGAGCGTCACGCCCTTTGTTTTCGGTCGTTTGGCTGACGGCTTAGCCTCTTCAGCTGACCTCTGTCGCTTTGCTGCTTTTACTGGAGGTTCCAGTTTAAAATTAGGTATGACCGCCCTCGCGCAGTCAATTGATGCTCAGAGCTCCTTGGTTGGCGGCATCAACTCCACTAACCTCAATAGGTATGCGGCGCGTCGTCTCTCCGCATACCTTGCCTTTGCCGGTTCCTGAATATTGAATGCGGGCCGCTCTCTGGCAGATACACTTCCAGCAGCAGCCCCTTTGGCATCTCCTTGCATGCCTTGTGCCTGCCTTATCTGCGGGACCAAGCTTCGCTCCTGTCCTTTTGCCGATTGTTGCCGAGCTCGTTGCAAACGCTGCTCTTTTATGGGAGCAACTAGCTCTCTCCGGATTTTTTGGTGGAGATCCGGGCTCCCCTGTATGTTTGTTTTTGTTCATTTTGTTTAGGTTCATAAATGGTCCCACGAGTGTGGGGGAAAGTGTGTCCGCTTGCGCATAGCCCCCGCTACGCAAGTAAGGCTATCATATTACGGAGGGCGCCAGGTATCCGTAAGCTCCGTTTGAGACTGGGATATTTAAGGGCCCCCAGCCAGGCACGGGTCGCATGACACCTTGATCCAGCTCTTTATAGTACCCCCGACCATGGTAAGGCTCCTTACCTGTATGCTGTGCTATTAAGGAACATCGAACACACAGGTAAGAAGTCTGACCTTAGCTAGATTCCTCACGTCTACGGCAGGGGTGGTCTGTTACCAGCTCGTCCCCGCTTACTTCGTGAAACTGTGGTATCTATTACAAGTCGGCACCCTCGGGGAGGGTTCAGTGGGGGATTTCTGCCGACCCGGTTGCTAATATAAAATTATTTGTACTGATGAACTTCATCAGGAGCACAGGTTGGTTCAGAGAGGAGACGATAGAGTGAGGGAACATTAGTCCCGGTGGTATCACAATGGGCCTCCTATAGGCCTAGGTGCGTCGTTAGACAGCCACTCTATCTACCTACCTACCTATACGCAATAGTGGTCGCGCTCTACACTGGGCACTGCAGGCTCAAGAAACAGCTATCAAACATGGGCATAGCTTCTTGTGGCAACTGCCGATTCTGCGACATGGGACCGGAAACACCAGAACACCTAATCCTAGATTGCACCGCAATTCGTAGACGCAGGCTCAAGGCCCTCGGTTCCATTTTTGTGACCAGGGATCACATTGCCTCAATAGCACCCAGCAAGTATCTGGAGTTTTTCAGGGTGCTGGGACTTTGGGAATGCATGTAATCTAATACGCAATAGTGGTCCGATTCGACAGTTCTAACAAAATCTCAGGTCGATGTCTCAAAAACTCAGTCGCGTATATACAGACAGATGGCCGGACGTGGGGACATGGCTAAATTGATGAAGTTCGTGGTGCTGATCATTTGTTAATAGATTTTATAGGGTCTCCGACGGTTCGTTCTGGGTGTTACAAGCTTCGTGGAAAACTTAATATACTTTTGTTCAGGGTATAAAAAATATAAAACATAAATTTAATACCGTTATCGGTGACAATGACAACGCTGTCTTAATGTGACCCAAATGCTCAAGAAAATAAATATATGTATTATATGTATATTTATGATCCGATAGAGTATTGGCTTTCGAGAGTGAATCAGTTAAATATTTGCATACGAATGCCTTAAATGATTAGGCGGTAAAGCAGTATCAATAACAATTCTATTCAAAGAAAAAATAGTAGAACTTTAGTGACAAGGAAACAAAGAATGTCTTTTTATGTAAATAAATAAAAGAAAATAACGTTAATTTTAAAATTTTTCCAACGAATCGAGAGTGTAAAGGAAATAAACAAACAGATACAACATGAACAACAAAACAGAAGCAGTAAAGCATGACGGCAAGAAAATAATAAGGGGAGAGTGGAAGTAAATCCATGGAAAATATATCAAAAATGCAATTAAAATCAAAGCAGCAAATATTTTCAAAATAAACACAGATATCCGAATATATATATATATATATATATATATATGTATAAAACATAAATATCATAATTATATATATATATGAGTCTTTTGCATGTCAGCCTGCCATAAATATCCTTATCGTTCACCCAAAACCCACGTGCCGCGAAGTACACATCAGTTGCCTCTGGTTCAAATGTTTCACTTTACTTAAAGCAATTAAGTTTCTTCGCTTCTTTCTGTATTTGAATTAAGCGTTTTCTCTGCCCCTCTGGCCGTGATTCATTGTACGGAGGCATGTTGCCTGTGGTCTGTGATTGCCCACTCACAAGCGCAACTGTCAACAGTTGTTTCGAATTACAAGCGCTTTACCAAAAACAGCCGAAATAAATATGAGAAAAAGAAGACAACATGAACTCAGAAATAGTCAATATTAATGTCATTTGTCGACCGAAATTCCCGTTGTATTTTTTGGTTTTATATTATTGCAAATCGAACCCCGAAGATTTTCTTGTCTTTTTGTTTTGCGATTGTCCATTGTTTTTGTTGTCATTGTCGTCTTGAAATCGGCATATAAACCTGCACTCACAAATATGTTAGTTTACTGTTGTTGCTTGTGTGATTTTCAGTTTAAGCTTAGTAATCTCAGCTTTTCATGCAACACTTGCAGTGAGCGTCGGCTCATTTTTCCTCACAGTTCAGCTGAAAAATGCATGCGCACGGACACATATGCATGCAAATGAGGTTTATTTATTTTTATGGCAATTTAAATGTTTTTGGCAAAGTTTTTCGATTAGGTTTTTCAGCGGAATTTGTTTAATTTTAGGCAATCGGTTCACCTAAATAAAATGGTACTTAAATCAGAATGTGTGCCGTTATATTTAAATATGTATGTGTGGTTGCACTTTTGTTGCAGATGGGTTTCTACAACGGTCAACTAAAAAAAAGTATGTGTCCTTGAGGTCTTGGTTAAATTTCGCGTTCTGACTAAAATATTTTTCGGAAACTATTTCTTTTTTTGAACATACTCGTATGTATATCACAGTGCATCATGTTGTATAAGGGCATTCAAGAAATCTTACGGTTGGTTACTGCATAATGTAATGCGACAAAGAGTAAGTGTTTGGTACCATTATTATTGTTGAAAAATATACGAAATCGAAAAAGCTTTAAATTTTATATATAAATATTAAATTAAATATAAATTTAGGATTTAGATCCGCCCACGATATTCAATGTACATTCGCAGCCAGCTGCAAAGAAACGCTTCGACTCACCGACGAAATATTCGATAAGAGTACAAATAAGAAATAATTAAAATATTTATAATTTATGTATAATATTTTTTTTTGAAGATTTCATTTGTTAATCCGTTTAAAGTGAAACTTATTTTTGAACAAATTTTTTTCTTCTTTTGCTTTGATATAACTGTTAATTAGAAATTAGACTAAATAATTTGTTATGAAATTTCGAGAGACGCGAAGGCGGAGCAATGTTCGTTAGTGGTTTGTTAAATTCTGCACAGGCCCTTTGACTATCAAAAACGATGAACCTAGTGGAAGTCCAAAAATAATGATTATTGGTCGATCCAGATAGCTGACACTCTAAGGCTATCATATGATCGTATTGGTTATATCGGTCTCGAAACTGTGAGTTTGGGAAATCTCTTTGTGAACTTGTTGCCGTGTGAGCTCACAATCAACCAAAAACAATCGATCAGCGAGGAAAAGACTCATCGGTTGGTAAATTAGCATTATTGGAATGTTTGAAGGGCGAATCGCTGAAAAATCATTAAAAACTATTGCAAATTACATAACTTTGAGGTTTCGAATTGATGCTGTATTAACCTGTTCTGGCCCCAGCTACTTTTACATAATCGCTGAGACTTAGGACTGTTTTGAAGCAAAAAACAAGTCGTACTATTAAATCTGAAACATCACTTCTCTCCTCTTTGGCAAAGATCGTTTGAATTATAAAACCAATTTTAGTGAAGGAAACTTCGTTTTTTTTAACCGATACGTACTTTTGCGCCTGCCTATTTTTCTGTATATCTTCCCATTATAGAAATCGTATGTCACTATTCTTCAAATTTATATAATGATAAAATAACGAAGCCTACAACACAAAATATTATGTTAATATATTGTATAAAAGTTCTATGTTTTTTTTTTAACTTATATAAAAATGAAAGGAACGGTATTAAAATTGCTTTTATGCTTCACCAATCTTATCCCACAATGTCTAAAGCTGGAGTATAAAAAAGCCGCTGCCACCTCAAATTCAGTAAAATGTCATTCAGAACAATAATTGCATAAAATCGAATTTGCTTTGCATTCGCCTGCTGGCTCGACCCATCCCTAATCACAAAAGCTGTGTGTTCGCCGGCTTAAAAATCGTGAAAGGGCGCGATTTTCCAATAAAGCAGTGCCATTATCCACATTGTGGCTCAATCTAGTGGTGGTGGTGCTGGTGATCAACAGCAGCAGGTCCTCACACCAGTGATGGCAACAGTATCCACGGCAGAAGCAGCAAAAAGTACGAGTAAAGGCGCCTCTTTACCAATTTTCGTTTGATTGTATCAATTGTCGGGCCTGTTGCGCTGTTCGCCGCGCTTGCGCACAACTGCCAGCCACAAAGCTAAATAGTTTTATTCACTGCACCATCATTTGCTGGCTTAAGAGTCATTTATTTCTTTCTCGCGTGTTTATTTGCCTATTTCTTTTGCAGTTGTGTCGTTGTCGCCAGAGATTTGGTTGCTTCACGAGGCAAGTATATGTCAGGAAAGATTATCCAAATGCCAAAAGCTATTCATGTTGGTGGTGGGATGAGTCGGCGGAGCAGTATGCCACACTGTGGAACTGGCGCGTGTACATAGCGTCAAAATGGGTTATTGTATGGCATGCTCAACCAGTTGCAAGCTGAGTTCTGCTTGGCCTGTTTGATTGCAACATTTCTTAGTTGCCTGGCAGGCGAAGTACTTGTAAAGTAGTGTGCAAAAAGCAGAAAAAAGTATAAAAATTGTAAATGCGAAGTAGGTAAATACATTAGGAAAAAGGTAATAAAAAATGTTGGCGAATAATGCTGTGCGGTGTGCGCTTTGGGTTTGCTGCTTTTCGAATATCGCATATATCTTTTCGTTTTTGAATTGAGTTTCTGACCTTTTCCACAGCAGGGCTGCAGTACATTGCATGAATTTATCTAAGTGAATTCATAGAAAAATTTATTTATTTTTACTTTTGTTCGTTTGTAGGCCATTTATAAAAGTAAACTTACGTGGCATTTGGCCTTTCGGCTGCTTTCAGTGGTCTGCTGCTCTTTCAAGGTAATCTGCTACGCAGCTCGTTAGCGTGGCGAGAAATACACTATTCGCACAACACAGAGGAAATTTGAACTGATTTCCTTACTTCTCACTTTAAACCACCTGAAGCATATCGAAAGCTCGATGGGTCCCCAACTATTTAGTTTTCTTTGTTGTCAAAATTTCCAAAAAATTTACTTCGACACCTATACGTACGAGTATATATAAATATTGTTCACAATTAGACGCGGTAACGGTAATTATTTAGCAAATGTGTGTTCATACTTTTGGTACAGTTCTGCGTAGAATTATGAAATTTTCACTGCCTAAATATATTATTGCAATAATTATATTTCAAATGATATAAAAATATACTAAATTGAATTTAAAAGAAATTTTAGAACTTTAAAAGATAAGTTCTGTGACAATTGCAGGATAAAAATTAAGCTGCAATACAATTTTTAATAAAGTTAATTTTATTTATTTATGCATAAATTAGTATTAAATGAGCAATAAACAAAATTTTATTCGAAATGGCTTCTTTTCTTTGCTTTTACGCAAGCACTCAAACGATTAGTTCATTGATCAATAGCAGCACGAACAGTTAATATTAATATTGACGACGCTGCTCGAATCGAAGATTTTTTGACACTATCCAAATTTCTTTGAAATATTCGACAGACGAAATCTTCCATCTCTGACCACAAACTGTAGTCTTATGTATTCAAATTTGGACTTTCAGACGGCCAATCAACTGCAGTTGTGGAACCAGGATCATTGCTTTTAAGCAACTGCGTGGTTGCTTTTGCCTTGTGTGCTGGAGCAGAATCTGGAAGACCGAGTGCTCTCAATTGAAGAGAGTATTGCTTAACTGCTTTACCACACCTTCTAAAACATCCTGCTGGTACACTTTTGCCCTAGATTCAATACGTTTTTTTTACAGTAGTGAAGAAGTGTAACGTCATTACAGGAGACTCCACAGCAAACCCTTACAGCACCTGGATGGTGACCACGTTGACCCCTTGGAATTATATTTAAACTTTTTTACAGTGAACATTTTTTCATCTGCAAAAATGAATCTTTTGAACCCAATTTTCTTCAAGACTTTTGTCAGAAGATGACCAGTTGACGATAGGTTTTCTTGTAATGATCATCTCGAATAAATCTTAACATTGATCTGGTCGATATATCTATTTCCCTTGAAAGAATTTTCAATTTTGTAAGCAGATTTGAATGGCTACGTCAACAAACAAATCTGCCGCATTTGGAGTGAAGCTAATCCTCAAGTGTATATCGAAACACCGTTACATCCAGAGAAACTGACTGTTTGGTGCGCTTTATGTTCTGGTGGAATCATTGGTCCGTACTTCTTCAAAAACGATGATGGCCATCGTTGTTTTATTGCAGATATATACCTCTAAAAAAACACCCTTTACTAAGTATGTAGTTATTAATTTTACTAAGAATAATCGTAGCAGCGATCACATCCAAAACTACCTCCTTCATAAAAGGTACATTGGTCATGCAACCAATCCATGCACTTTATAAATTGTATCCAGACCTCGGCATTCGATGTATTGCTCCCTAAAAAGTGGGCAAAAACATTGTTTTGAAATCCGCGGATTTTTTTGGGAACAATTATTTTGCATTAAATATTATTCCTTAATGGATCAGACTCGATCTATGTGGGTTTATAAATTTTCTTGTTTCTCTTTCAGTTGTTGTATATTATGTCTTTGACGTCGTCAGTCCTTGATACTGATTTGCTATTATCTATTTTTGATGGTGCTATTGTATGATGATGTGATAAATGATGCAGCAAAATCAGCTTAACTAAACAAATCATCATAGAAAGGGTATATTTTATTTACTCTAAAGTCAGATTTCGATAGTTTTATCAATTTTATTGTTTTCTTATATAAAGCAAAAGAGATAATTGTGGCACACTTTCTTCAGACCGTGATGTTTTATAGATACTCATATAACTTTTCTCCTGTTATACTTACTTGTAATCTCAAAGCATATAAAAAATAGTAAACTTGGATAAATCACTAAATAAACTGATTTACATTGTTAATTATGTTCACGTTCGAATTTTATTTAAAAACAGGAAAAAAGCGTTAACAAAATGTATGTATATGTATAGAATACAAGAACTTGATTATAATCGGTCAGCTTGCATGGCTGCTGTATGCTGAAGTGAGACAATTGAGCAGCTGTTATGGATAGAAAAGGATGTGAGGAAAATTTTGGAGGGGATTAATGCCGAACAGTTGAACCTAGCTAAATCTACTCAACTCGTCATTCTGATCATTTATATATATTTTTTATAGGATCACCGACGCTTCATTCTGAGTGTTACAAACTTAATACAACCTGGTACATTTCTCAAAGCGAATACGGCATATTTTTGTTCTTATGTACCCGGTATGGCTATTGGGTATCAAGCGATCTGTAAATTTACCGCATAGAAAATGAGTTTTAGAATTGTTTAATTGTCAAACCCATGACATCTGGTCTTGTGAGTACTGTATCTCTAACAATTATTCAATTATGTAATTCGTAAACCTGAATATGATAGCTACAATACTTTAGAAATTTTTGTATATTGGACGTATATACTTTGGTGCTCTGAGAAATTTCTCAAGGTCAACATTTCACATACAACCAAACATACGGCTTGATGCTATATTATATAAATTATTATTCAAGAAAGAGGTACATAAAAAAAAATTTTACACTGCAGGAATTTTATGTGCGATTGTGACGTCAATTAAGCGGATTTGACTTTCTTTCAACTTCGAGTGACTCCAATGTTGCTCTTCTTTATTAACACCCATCTCTAATAAACGTGGTATTGCCTTGTTCCACAAATCATTGCGCAAGCTTTAAAATTATTTATATTATACAAACATATCAATCAAATCACTTGATTGAATTGCCACCACTGATGTTGGTATGGCGGCTATTGGTACTTCATATCCAAACTATAACTACGCGGTTTGCTTTGAAGCCACTGATGTCTGCGCTGACAAGACAATGTGCTTTTTTCATTTCACTAATTACTATTTTGAAACATACTATTACTCTTTTGGATCTGGTCGGTTTTTTTGCTTTTCGGCAATTACTCACATTGTTGCGATGACATTTGTCGTTACTCCCTCACATCAGCAACAAGTGAAATGTATAATCAATGGGAAGACAAGACAAAGCCAAATATTTTTTGCAGTTTTTATTCAGTGATTCGCGAATGAATGTTTGTGGGAATGTGTGATGCGCTTGCTTTTGTGTGGCACTGGTATCAAATATATATATGTATGTAAGTATATAACAATTGTTGTCTGCTGTCAGTCAACTGTAACGTTGGCAACATATTGTTGCCAGACAGACGAAATAATTACTTGTGAAAATGTTGAATTGATTTTCTCTTTTTCCTAATGGCGGCTCTTGTGAAGCGCTGTGGGAAATGAATTCGTACGAGCGCAGTCCGATAATGGCCTAGCCACACCACCCGATAGCACCGTAAGAGAAATATAATATCATTTAGTGCATTCCCGTAAACGATTACTGACAAAATTTTGACTGCATGTTTAAGAAGCAGTGCCCGCGAATATTAGATAAAATGGAAAAAGAGCAGTATCGGTGATTAATTCGATTATAATTTTAAAGGGAAAATTTTCCAGTGAAATTAAAGGACAATCAATATAGAAAGCTGTTTTACTTGCCGAAAAGGTTATGACCACAGTTTTCTGTCATTTACAAGGTATACACCGATCTACACCGGTTCTCAAGATAAGGGCAAGAGTTTTACAGAGCTCTATACGAATTATTGAGCTGATTTGACGTTGATTCGCAGAAAAAATGGTGAAGAAAAAGGTGTCCTTCCACAATCTCGAAGCTTGGCCACACATCCGCTATAACCACAGTAAAATTTTTCGAAATAGGCTACGAACTGGTATTTCATTCACTTTATATGTTTTGTTTCTAAACTTGGAAATGTCACTCGCTGGACAGAAATTAGAGTCGAATGAGGAGGTCATCGCAGCCACGGATGCCTTCTTTGAAGATGGGTTATATACTTGTAATTGGGGAATTATGTGGTTAAGTGAATCGAGTTAAAAAATAATTATGTGTTTATGGTATGTATTTTGTGAACTAAAACTTATTGGACCACCCTCGTAGCAGCAAGAGAAGACTTGATTTGCACGCGTGCATACAAGGAGATACATATCGCTTAGGGGATTTCCTTGTCTATTTAGATGTACATAATTTTAAACTTAACTTTTTCTAGCATGGGCCTTTTGCTACTTACCTTAGCCTCAGTGATTAATAAACAACTGCTTTCCACTAACCTAAAGAAAGCTTAAAGGCACGACATTCTCATTAAAAAACACAAAAGGTAGGAAGTCACTTGTCCCACATAAACCGCGAAGACATGAGAAAATTATGTCATTGCGAACTAAGTGCGGCTGTCGTCCAGTCGAAGGCGATCAAAAAACAAATAAGCTTTCATTCATTTGACTTGCAGCATTTCTTACGCCAAGTGAAAGCTCAAAACAATGGTAGTAGAAGCACAAAGCACAGCAGTATTTCTTCCTTATCCCTAATTAGTAATATTCGTGATTTGCTCGTTTTATTTTTTACCCCCACGGCGGTCAATTTCTCTCGGCAAATATGCATTTGTAAGAAAACAGTTGGGTGATTATTTGTACCGGTATTTGGCTTTCTCCTGTCGGCAATTTTCAACCATTTTCAGTTGAAATTATTTTTCCTGTTAAATTGTGGCTTGTTTGTGGAGTAGTCATTATATGCGTATTTAAATATGTATCGGCATTTACAATGCTTGCTGCAGTAGAGAGTGCGTAATGGCGCACAAAAATATTTCTTGATTGCTTTTGGCTATTTTTCCAAATTTCTGGAATATCTCACAGCTATTGTCTCAACATTATACCACAGCGCAACTTTATACACGATGTACCACAGTTCCTTAATAGGTCGCCCTGATCCGTATGTCAGCCTTTTCGGAAATTTTCTTCTTTTGGTTCGGTAGCCAGACAGATGGCATTTTAGACAATCTCTGGAATTCCTTTGGGGCCTGGAACCGAGTATATGTGCAGCCACCGTCCAGAAGCCGCTACATCTACTGCTTCTAAGAACATTCTCGGACGTAATGCGATATGAGATGATTGCCTTAATTGCCGCCTGATTATCGACGTATATATTGATCTTCTTTATGTTGACGCAAAGACTTCCGCCTACAAGCTACTGCAGTATTCAGGAAGCTTAAAGGGTCACCTGAGATCCAGATCCGAACAATAGATTCCGGCTCCCACTCCATTAGTCAGTTTTGATTATAGTGTGACTTGAAACAAATGTAACATTTAGTTAAAGTAACTTTAAAGCTTTATTAAAAAGGGTATTATTATTATTAATATATCTGCTTCACTGCCGTATAACCACCGTATAAAGTAAGTAATATGGGAAATGGAAAAAAATGTGTTCTAACAGAGGAATCATATATATCAGGCAGACAAGAGTTATGGGAAGGTACATGCACTTCGTTAATTTACGATATGTTACATATTGACCAATGAAACCAGGATATTGAGGAAGGTATATATGAAAGGATATGTGCCATATGTTTAGAACACTATATTTTAAGTATTTGTGTCATTAAAATATCGATATTATGAAATGATATTGATTGTGGTCCATGTATGTATATTTTTCAACTGTATCTGGAAGGAAGAATTATGAAAATGGCAGTGATCAAATTTAAAATTGGTCCATTATTTTATGTGTTGAGTAAGTTGAAAAAAGTGGTAGTAGCTAATGAGTTATGTTTATAAAAACTATTACAGCGTGGGTCACTCCTCTTTAAAACAAAAACCTAAACCTATACATGACCATCCCACTGTTACCCTCTGTGTTAAGATTTGTAGCTTATTTGACGACAAAGTTATAGGCTCTTTATATTTTGATGAATGTCGCCAAGGAACATGTGTACCACGTTTTATGAAGATATCTCAGTTGGTATTTCAGTTGTCGGACAGACAGACATCGATCGTCTCGTCATCCTGATAAATTTGATATATAGACATAACGCTAAACATATCTCGTTTAATTTTAAGAGTTATAAATAACCGTTGGCAAAACAAAACTAATATACTCTGAGCAACATGTTGCTGAGTATAAAAATATCAAAGGTTTTAGGTCTACTAAAGTGCAGGCAGACTATTATGCATATCAGCTGTTAATTCAATGATTAGCCTTTAAATACAATGAAGAGTCATAAAAAATTAGAATTGATTGTGAATAATGCATAACAACTATCTCGATACTCATGTATGTACATCTCTTCATGAAGTTGCTCAAATTAATTGTATAATTAGTAGATTCACAAAGCATTTCGTACGCCTCATAAATTAATAAGATGATTTATTGTTAACGAAGCGACTACTGAAACTATGCTAAACCGATAGATGTTTTTGTTAGAATTCTTAAGCTTCTTCAATATTCGGTTGCTGCTGTTCAACCGCTTTGCTTGCGGACTACACTACTTTTAATTTATTTTTCTTCAACTTATCTCCGTTGTTTCATTCCAAAAATTATTTATGCAACATAACTTGCCATAACTTTTTGAGGTTAGTGCTTTATGGCTTTCAAGTGCTTTCAACATGCTTTTGGTTCTTTTCAAACATTACACTTTTAAATAAGTGCTAGTTTTTTTTTGTTCAAAATCCCAACGTTGGTGTTAGTATAAGAAGGCTTTTCAAGGCAGCTAGAGAGTTTCTGTTATTCTAAAACTTATAAAAAATTTTATTTTTATTATATAGACTTCAATGTGTACCAATATGTGAGTTTTTATGACTGCAACTAAAAAGATAAATAGTTGCATAATTGAAGAATGGATACTTCTGCGATCCTGCTCTGTAGAAGATAATTACTATGTTATTGGTCAAAAAGAACATGACCACCGTTTCCTGGGAGTGTGAAAGAGAGATTCGACACCGAATTGCAAGAATATACAACCCCATTTAGTGATGAAATTCTTTTTTTTCCACACTTGAAAAATTCACCCAACGGCAGACATTTGAGTCGAATGAGGAGGTTATCGCCGGTACGGTTAAAAGAAGTATTTTCCAGTCTGGTTAAAGAAGTTGGGCAGTCAAGTCTAAAAAGCTAAACAAAAAACTTTATTGACGAAATATGGCATTTTTCCAAAGTTTAAGTACTGCAGATTTTATTTGTTATAAATATATTTTTATACTCTCGCAACCTGTTGCTACAGAGTATAATAGTTTTGTTCACCTAACGGTTATTTGTATCACCTAAAACTAATTGAGTTAGATATAGGGTTATATATATATAAATGATCAGGATGAAGAGACGAGTTGAAATCCGGGTGACTGTCTGTCCGTCCGTCCTTGCAAGCTTTAACTTGATATCTTTATGAAACTTGGTAGACATGTTTCTTGGTACCGTGAGACGATTGGTATTGCAGATGGGCGTAATCGGACCACTGCCACGCCCACAAAACGCCATTAATCAAAAACAAATAAATTGCCATAACTAAGCTCCAAAATAAGATACCTTATTGTTATTTGGTACACAGGATCACATTAGGGAGGGGCATCTGCAGCTAAATTTTTTTTTTAAAGTGGGCGTGGTCCCGCCTCTATGTACATATCCCCTAAACCGCTAATGCTATAATAACAAAATTCACTGGAAGCAAATGCACTTCTAATGACGGTGTGAAAATAGTTGAAATCGGGTGGCAACTCCACCCACTCCCCATATAACGGTACTGTTAAAAACTGCTGAAAGCGCGATAAATCAAGCACTAAACGCGCCAGAGACATTAAATTGTATCTCTGGGATGATATGAGATTACTTTATAGGAACCGCGTTCAAAATTAGACAGTAGGCGTGGCACAGCCCACTTTTAGGTGAAAACCCATATCTCGAGATCTGCTTAACCAATTTCAACAAAATTCGGTACATAACGTTATTTTTATATTTCTATATCATAGTGCGAAAATGGGCGAAATCGGACTACAACCACGCCTTTTTCCCATATAACACCATTTTCAATTCCATCTGATTCTTTCACTTTCCACTATGCATATCAAGCAACAGTCTCAATTACACCTGGTACAATTCTCAAAGCGAATACGGCATATTTTTGTTCTTATGTACCCGGTATGGCTATTGGGTATCAAGCGATCTGTAAATTTACCGCATAGAAAATGAGTTTTAGAATTGTTTAATTGTCAAACCCATGACATCT